AATCTTTATGGGAGCAGAAAGCCTCATCTTTCTCCCATGGAACAGCTGGTAGTTTCGAACTGCCGACCTTGAGGTGAGCAACCCGATTCGTAACCACTACGCTACCAGATAGGTACTGTGTTACCACTGACAACATTGTACTTCAGGCTAGATTTGGAAATAGTGTTTTAGGGGATGAATGTGATGTCGTTCCTCGTCAACGTGTTTCTGTTGTCTTAGGCTGGGTTCTCTAGAGGAGCAAAACCAGGGAAGCATATGAACGTGTTGTGGTTGTGTGCTGTTGAGTCAGTTTCAACTCGTACTTGTATAGGGTTTCTGAGGAGTTTCTGGGGGGTTTGAACCATTGACCAATTGTGGAGACTTCTTGTTGTTGTGAAGTGCTGACGAGTGTCGTTTCCTACCCATAACCACCCTGTATCGGTTTCCCAGAAGCACCTGGTGAGCTTGAACCACCGAACTTGCAGTTCAAACTGACTTTGCAGTCTAGCGCATTAACACACAGCGCCACACCAGGACTACAATGTAGCAGATCCCAAATCTGTGAGTTAGGTGTCAGACTGGAGGCCCCAGACAGGCAGGCCAGGTGACAGGCAGCTGGCTCACGCCTTAAGAATGCAGGATTGAGCGAGAATGAACTTCGTCAGAGCATCTATATCATATGGGGTGCAGCCTCACTCCTAAAGATGCCCCCCTTTCAACTGACAGTTGCTGTTTGTTTACTAAATGACAAAGTGGAGGTTCAGTACAGAGTATCTGATAAAGTAGGGAATCATGGACAACTTGGCACAAATCACCACACCTGACGTTACAGTAGACCAGGTGATGGATTCAAAATGGCCAATAGCAGTCCATTCCAACTCACGAGTGCCTAGGGTACCAATCTTTTAAGTGCTCAGTTTTGAAAACTTGCAATTTTCCTAGATTCATACTTCATACAGAGCCCTGGTGTGGCGCTGTAGGGTAAGCACTGGACTGCAAGGTCAGTTTGACAGCAAGGTTGGTGGCTTACACTCACCAGCCGCTCCTTTGAAACTCTATCCAGGGTCGGCGCTATGAGTTTGCACTGATCCAATGGTTACAAGAGCATTCCTTGCATTCCCTGTTCTGATTATTAGTGGATATTTGCCGCTGTTTCTTCTTATTTGGTGTCATACCACATCAGCAAACAAAGGTCCTCAAAGCTTTGCTCCATCTACATCACTAAGGGCGACTCTACTCTGAGGAGGCAGCTCTTCCTCAGTCATGTTTGAGTGCCTTCCATCTTCAGCCACTGGAGCTGACAGTGTTCTGTAGCCAATTACTATTATGTCTGTATTTTGGAAGCAGTGTTCCAGGTCCTTCTTCCTAGTCTGTCTTAGTGTGGAAGCCCCTTTAAAACCTGCTCACCATAAACCACCACTGTGTGACCCACTGGGGGGAAGGACATGCTGCCTGGCCCCATCCATACAGGGTTAAAGGGTCCAGAGGTCAGGCCGGCTACTGCTGACGGGCAGGGACTTGGAGCTGCCGTCTTAACAGGGAATGTAAATATGTCAAAGTTATAGATTTTCACTGTGAATTTTAGCTTTATCGTAATAAAGTTATGTAGAGTATTTACTCAGTTTCTCATTCCTAATGACTCCTTGTGATTCTTCTCTCTTTGCCTTTGAAATAGACTTGGAGGAAGTTTGTGTATTTATTGAACTTTTCACAGTATAAGCCCTTGGTTTTATATTTCTCTAAGTTCTTTTCTTGGTGGTAGTCGGTTTATTTCTTTTTTCTTTATTCGTCCTTTTTGCCTCCTTTAAGTAATTTATTTAGTTAATTAAACAAAATTCATTATACCACAGTGGCTGAGTTCTCAGCCAAGTCTTGGTGTGGTGCTGTAGGATAAGCAGTGGACTACTAACTGCAAGGTTGGTGGTTCAAACCCACTAGACGCTCCTCAGAAACCCTATACAGGGTCACTGAGTCAGAACTGACTCCACAGCACTGAATAACAACACTAGAGGAAACAACACTCGTGCCCTACACAACTGCTGGGGGTCAAAAGGGCAAAGGTGAGAAGGGCTGGGAAAGGGAGGAAATGGAATAAGTGAGTTTACATGAAAAAGAGTGCAGTCTTGCAATTATTGAGATGAAACGAAGTGTGTGATTTGTTGAATGCAAAACTGATGATCTACCCTGTAAACCTTCACTCAAAAGGTCAGCGGTTCGAACCCACCAGCTGCTACTTGGGGAAAAGATGTGGCTGTCTGCTTCCATAAAAGTTACACCCTTGGTGGCCCTGTGGAGTCATTCTGTGCCCTCCTGTAGTGTCTGTTGAGTCTGAACTGACTTGATGGCATTGAGCTTGGTGGGTTTTCCTTTTGTTCTTCTAAAGGTTTCATGTATTTTGTGTTTTGCATTTTGGTCTGTGATCCATTTTGATTTTGTGAGAAGACATTAAGATCATTGACTAAATCCTTTTTTGGCATGTGGTTGTTAATTATATTATAAAAAAGATGCCTCTTTTTTCCTTCCAAGAGTATCTTTTTTAGCAGTCTAGTCATTGACATGAGGGCTGTGGGCTGCTGCTTCACACTGCCCACATTTGAGGCCTGGCCCTCACAATGTGGTGGATGTGGTTTCAGCCCACTGTGCCCTTCCGCCCAGCTTCCTGCTGACCTGAGCTGATCGGTGTGGGGTTCTGAGCTGGGGGGCTCAGTGCAGGGCAGGGTTACAGGAGTAGACAAGTCCCTCCACTTCTGGGGCCCCAGGGCTCACCTGCGTCCCTTTACTCCATCACCCACCTGCCACTCCTCACTGTCCCTTGCCCTCAGCCCTGCCGCCTCCTCCTTGGAACCTGACATACCACGAGAGGAAAGAGAAGAAGGTAGAGATGGAGGGAAGTGTGTCTGACCCCGTCCATGACCATGAGATTCAGGAGTAGCCAACTTGACAGTGTGTGTGACTGTGTGTGACTGCGCATGACTGCGCATGTGTGTGTGAGTGGGCACAAGTGAGTGTGCATGTGTGTGTGTGTGCATATGAACAGTTAAGTGTGAGGATGTGCATGTGTCGTTTTTGCCCCACACTGTGGAGCTGACGTTAACTGCCCCGCTGCTCTGAGAGGCTTCCCTGTGTCCTGTGGCTGGAGTGTCACTGGATCCGAAACGTCACCCATGGCTGTGGCTGAGAGGCCAGGCTGTCTCGCCCATTGTGGGAAGAGGACATGGGACCCTACGTGGGGCTAGGCGGGAGCACCCTTCGACAGACGTGTGTCACACTGCCCTTACTTGCAGACCCCTGTCTGTACATCCCACGCTTCGCCCACCTGCTGGAGTTTGGGGAGAAGAACCATGAGGTGTCCATGACGGCTCTGCGTCTGCTGCAACGCATGAAGAGGGACTGGATGCATACCGGCCGGCGCCCCTCGGGGCTGTGCGGCGCAGGTATGGACAGTGATGCTTCGTGCTGGAGGAGGCTTCCTTCCCGTGGGCCTCACTCTGGACCGCAGACAGCTGTCACTCCCCACGGTCACGGCACACTCCGAGATCAAAGTTCCCACAAGTCTGTCCCAGGGGTCCTTGCATTCTTAAGTGGGGTGCTTAGGGCTGCACTCTTTTGACTCTTTAATCACCATGTGTCCCAGGTGAGGCAGCATAGATGTCCAAGGAGTCTGTGGTTGTGAGGTGTGATACCTCGATTGTATCTCCAGACCTCCCTTTGGGGGGTAATGCGTGTCCTGCCCTGGGGGTCTCTCGGCACATGGCGTGGCCTCCAGTATAGGGCAGGCTGTGATCCTGTGTGGCAGCAGCGGCGGTGATGCTTGAGTGTCACTGGGCCCGTCTTTGTGTGTTCCAGCTCTTCTGGTTGCAGCCAGGATGCATGACTTCCGGAGGACCGTCAAAGAGGTCATCAGTGTGGTCAAAGTTTGTGAGTCCACACTGCGCAAGAGGTGGGTGTGCTCCGTCAGCAGGGCCGCTAAGCACACCTTGCATCTAGGCCTCACCTACATATCCCCAAGGCTGTGCTGTCCAAGTTTGGGGGCAGCGGGGAGGGTCCCTGTCCCCTACCTGAAGGCAGGAGGGAGGCGGAAGGGGACGCTGGGTTCAGGCACAGTGTGGCTGCTCTTGATTTTGAGAACTCAGCTGGCCAGCTCCTGTCCACCTCTGCACAGCCTCCCCAGGGAAATAACCTCCCTGCACACAGCCGCCCAACAGCCCTCAAGCCTCAAGTGGCAATGTGACTGCAGGTTTGATGGACTGAACATGCTGTGGTTACTGTCCTATTTAGTGTCAGCCTGCGCACACACACCTCGTGGCTGTGTTCAGAGGCAGATGGAAACGCGTTTGCTTTCAGTATTTCACCTCTAATTTGCTTTAGAGCCCCCAAGAGTGTAAAAGGTTCTTGTGCTCAGATGCTCACTGCTGAAGGCTTGGAGGGTTGAGTTCACCCAAAGGCATTTCTGAAAAATCAGCTACACACAAGCTGTGGAGCACAGTTTTATTCTGACACACATGAGCTTGGCATGTGCCAGAATTGACTCAAGAGTAATCATTTTTGTTTTTAACTTTCTTTAAAAACTCCTTCATTAACATTTTGAGAATTCTGAAATGTAGGCAGTTATTCAGCCTTTAGCTTGTCACCTGATTTGAAGAGTGCCACCTTGGCTGCTGAAGCTTCCACATGGCTCTGCTGACCAGAACCCAGGGTCAGGGTTAGTGGAGGGGGAGTGGGGCGGTAGCCTCCTCTCCCAGGAGCCCGGGGTCTCGGGTTGACAGTCTCGGGTTGGTGGTCCATAAGCCCCCCTCCCAGCCATCAAGCTGTCAGCATGGTAGAACTCACAGTGCAGAATGTAACACTCCTGTATGGGGGTCCTCTGGAGTCAGGTGTGACCCTCTTGGTGTTTCAGGCTCACTGAGTTTGAAGACACACCCACCAGTCAGCTGACGATTGATGAGTTCATGAGGATTGATTTGGAGGAGGAGTGTGACCCCCCTTCATACACAGCAGGACAGAGGAAGCTTCGGATGAAGCAGGTAGGCAGGAGGTTGGCTGCAGCTCTGGTCAGTGGCCTGTGACCACAGGGGAGCCGGCGTCTCCTGTGGGCTCAGACTTCTCGGAGGGATGGAGGCTGTGGGCAGTGCTGGATTTGCTGCCTGAGGCATGCTGGTGGTCTTCTGTTGCTGAAGGACCCATGGTGACCACGTCTTTGCTATTGGGGTCATCTGAGTGGTTCCTCTTCTCAAAACCCTTGCGAGGTTTCCATGAGCAGACAAAGCAGCTATCGGGAAAACAGTCTCTCTTCCTCTCTGAAGTAATCCACACCTGGGGCAGCTACAGAGAAGGAAGCAGTTGGAAGTCTGCGTTAAGGCTTCAGAGGAGAGGCCAGTGGCCAGGTCCCTTTAGGGGCACCTGCTGTGGGCTGGTCTTGTCGGCAGGAATGGGCCTCACTCAGCGTGGGCGCTCATGGTCAGTGGGTCGACAGAGGGGGGACTTGGCAATTCTCCTCAGCCAACTTGTGGGGCCCCGCTGGCTAGGTCTCTGGTTGGGCTGCTCCCATTGGCTAAGTGACAACAAGGAGCAGGGAGCCTTGGGCCCAGCCTGGGACCTGCCCCAGCCAGGCACTACCGTCCGAGCCTCTTCTGGGGCATCTGTCAGGAGGAAAGCAAGCCGGGAGCATGGAGCTGCCTCTCTTCACGACTGTAACCTCCTGAGGCCTCCTGCCTGGGCAGCCTGGGGGGTGGGCACCCTGAGCCCCTGGATACATGAGATGGCGCCGTGCACATGTCTGAGCCCTTCCCTGATGGCTGCCGCCTCCCTTTCAGCTGGAGCAAGTCCTGTCCAAGCAGCTGGAGGAAGTGGAAGGTAATTCATACGCCCTACTACACCTGACACTCGTCTCCAGAAAAGTGGGTTTTGTGCTTACTCCTAATTCATCACTTAGGGGAGATCTCCAGCTACCAGGACGCCATCGAGATAGAACTAGAAAGTAGCCGGCCGAAGGCAAAGGGGGCCCTCGCCACCCTGACCAAAGACGGTGAGTTCAGCCCACCCTGTGATAGATATTACAAGGTCCTCATCCTGGGGTCACTCTGACCTGTTACCCTCCAGGCTGTTCCTTGTGGTCCCTGTCCCCATGCTGACTGACGCCCAGTCTGGCCCCTCGTCCCATGTCCAGTCCCTTCTTGTGGTCCCTGTCCCCATGCTGACTGACGCCCAGTCTGGCCCCTCGTCCCGTGTCTAGTCCCTTCTTGTGGTCCCTGTCCCCTCCTGACTGACGCCCAGTCTAGCCCCTCGTTCCGTGTCCAGGCTGATCCTCGACACCCCACTTTAGCCACCTTACGACTTCCTCTTGCCTTTCTGGGCTGCCTTTTTTTCACCATTTCTTAGCAGATATACCTATAGTTTGAAAATCCCTTGATTTTCCCATTAAGCTTGCTTTTACATTGGCTTGCCAACCCTCCTGCTTCTACACTGGTATGGTCAGAAGTCGCTACTTCTCGAATCTTCCTTGTCTCTCAGTGGCTCTCGCTGTGCCCTGCTGTCAGCCCCCGAGGAGCTCTCTCCTCCCACGCGGTCGTGGCCGCATGCACTGGTGCCGCATGCACTGGTGTGAGATGGTTCCTCGAGCTCTGCCTCCACAGTTCCCTCAGCCCTCTGTCGCTTCAGCCCTCGGCTGGGCACAGAAGTTTTGTAGGTCAAGGTGGGGAGGTCTTATGATTTCTGCTTCCGTTGTGTGGTAAGCAGACAGTCTGTTTCTGAGGTGCTGGTGTGAGTCTGAGTCGGCCCCTCCCCTCGGTCCACACTCCCCCTTCCCACACAGAGAACTAGATCAGCCCGGCCTAGGAGGTCAGCTGGCTTACTTTTCCTGCTGAACCATGTTTCCTGGGCCGGGCTGACCCTAGGAGGTTGGGTACGGCTTTTGTGGTTTTCTCTGAGATTGCTCCCCTTCCTGACTCAGCCTGGGCTGTAGCACTTGCCCGATGGTAGCACACAGCTCAACCCCTCTGCCTCGTGCTTCTCTGATGAGGCCTACGGGATGGACACCACCTCCCTTGTCCCCCCGACCCCGTGTCGTCCTGCCCTGATGCCCGATTTTAGCGGCCATTGAGACTCCTCCTTGGGCCATCTAAGGTGGTACGGCCAAGTGCTGATTGGCGTGGGCCCTGGTTAGAGGGGGCTGGTCAGTGTGGGTCATCTGTCCAGCTGTGGCTTAGCAGGGCCAGCCTGGCGGAGGAAGTGGGGGTAGAGGAAGAAATCAGCCCCTGTGGCAGCTAGAGCACTTACCTGCAGAATGGATGGCGTGCATCCAGCATACTGGCTTGGGGCCTGGCCTCGGGGACCAGCATGGACATAGCAGAGACCCTGCCTGGCTTCCCGCTGCCGCTGTGCAGAGGGGAAGCCAGGGGTTGGCACAGGGTAAAGGGGCTCTAGTGGGGCCTGTGTCGGGGAAGGTTATGCGGAGCTGCTGAGGGTCCTGGAAAGGATTGTCAAGATGGTAGCCCTTTGTGTCACACTGAACTTTCAAACTAGCTCACACAGAACAGCAGTTCAAGAGACAGTCTTTTTAAATGAAGTGGGCACTCACTGGTCTTCTGCCACCTTGACTGAGGTAGAGTTGGCACCCAGGAAATGACAGGTGTTGAGTGTACGCTGTGTTCATGTCTGTCCCCTGGTGCTGCTGTAAGAGACACCACATGCGGACAGTGGACAGGACAGAAATTCATTTTCTCAGCGTTAAACCGTAAAATCCAAATCCAGTGGTGTGGAGTGGACTCCAACTCATAGTTGGCCCATGGGCCAGAGTAGAGCTGCCCCCTAGGGTTCCAAGGCTGTAAATCTTTCTGGAAACAGCCTGCCTCATCGTTCAGAGCAGCTGGTGGGTAGCCACCTGGGCTCGGATTTCTCCTGTTAGGAGACTAGAAGTCCACAGTTCGGGAGCTGCCCACATGGCTTGGTACTGCTCTCATTTTCCCAGGTTCTTGGACATCTGTCTCCCCGTCTTTGCTCACTTCATGTAAGATCTGCCTTTTCACAGCTCAGAAAGCATTCCTCACGCCACAGCCTACACTGATAATTAACCGTCCATGCTTACCCTACAGCACCACACTGGGACTCTTTCCCACTTATAGGGGTTAGGCTCTAGAATACCTATTCCACTCTGAAGGGTAAGCACTCCTCGGGAGCTCTGAGTTAGCACCGACTCAACTGCTTCCCAACGGCAGCAGTGAGTCCACAACAGTGAACACGTGTTTGCCACCCGGACTCCTCATGAGGAGCTTGTAGTAACTTTCCCTTGTCCCCAGGGAAACACTGGTTTTCTTCCTGTCACTATGGATGAGGAGCATTTTCTGGAATTTTATATAAATGGAAGCACATAGTATGTAAGTCTCATCAAGTCGGGTGACCGTTTTTACACTGTTGTCCATGTTGGAGGACATGTGGATTGTTCTGTCTTGAGGCTGTAGCAGATGAAACCACGATGGGCAGTCACATAACACGTTTCTTTTGAGCGTGGGATGACTGGGTTGGTGGTGGTGGTTGTTGTTAGGTGCCATCGAGTGGTACCATCCCGTAGCGACCTCATGCACAGCAGAACGAAACACTGCCGGATCCTGGGCCAACCTCACTACTGTTGCCACACTTGAGTCCATTGATGCTGCTACTTAGCCAATTCATCTCATTGGGGGTCTTCCTCTTTTTCTCTGATGCTTCACCTTACCAAACATGATATCTTTCTCCAGTGACTGGTCCCTCCTGACAATATGTCCAAAATATAAGAGACAAAGTTTGGCCATCTTGGCCTCCAAGGAGCACTCTAGCTGTACTTCTTCCAAAATGGATCCATTGGTTCTTTTGGCAGTCCATGGCACTTTCCATATTCTCCTCCAACACCATAACTCAAAAGCATCATTTCTTCTACGGGCTTCCTTATTCACTGTCCAGCTTTCGCATGCATATGAGGTTATTGAAAATACCATGGCTTGGGTCAGGCGTACCTTAGTTCTCAAGCTGACATCTCTGCTCTTCAATACTTTAAAAAGTTCCTGTGCAGCAGATTTGCCGAGTGCAATACGTCGTTTGATTTCTTGACTGCTGCTTCCACGAGTGTTGATAGTTGTCCCAAGAAGAATGAAGTCCTTGACAACTTCAATCTTTTCTCCGTTGATAAGAATGTTGTTTATTGGTCCAGTGGTGAGGTTGGTGGTAGGTGTGGTTTAACACTCAGAATTGGGCCTGCTTTTTCCGCAGAAGCTGCATCAGCCTGTGTCTACCAGGAGTGTGTGAGAGCGCCAGCTCCTTCCACCCCCAGCAGCACTCAGTGTGGTCAGTTTCATGAACGGCAGTCTTTCTATAGATGTGCGTTTCCCAAGACTGATGATGTCAAGCACCTTCTCATGTGTTTATCTTTGGCAACACATCTGTTTGGTGAAATGTCTCTGCCCATCTTTTACTGTTTGCAGACATTTCCTCCCATCTGTGGTTTGTCTTTTCATTGTCTTAACAGTGTCTTCCAAAGTCAGAAGTTCTGAATTTTGATAAATAGAAAGCATCAGTGTTTTCTAGATTTTGCTTTTAGGGTCACATCTAAGAAAGTTTTGCCTGATTGAAGGTCAAAAAGATTTTCTCCTATGCTTCCTTTTAAAACTTTGCGGTCTGAGTGCTCACATTTGGGTCATTAATAGAGTTTGTGTTTGTGTGAGGCTTGTGAGGTATAGCTCTGTGGCAGGGAGTTTGTGTTTGTGTGGGGTGTGTGGGGCCTGTGACAGAGGTTGTATTGACTTGAGATGTGTGGGGTGCAGGTCAGGGGACATTCTCCTGCCCCATCAAGTGAAGGCAGCCCTGAGGGTCTCTCTCTCCTGGTCGAGAGAGAAGTACCTCTTGCAGGTTAGCGGAAGGGTTTTCTGTCCAGGTTCGTCCTCAGAGCTAGCTTCTCTGCCTGGCTGACGAGTGTCCAAAATGTGTCCCAGGCTCCACTGAGGATACTGTGTCCAGCTTATTTGGAGAGGACGATGCAGAGGACGAGGAACTAGAGGCCGTTGCCAGCCACCTTAACAAGGACTTTTACAGCGAGCTCCTTGGTGATGGACTGCCTGGCAGCTCAGAGTCAGTGGGGAGCACCGAGGAGGGGAGCCAGCCCCCGGCCCTGGAGTCCCTGCTCGGGCCGCTGCCCACGGCTGCCAGCCTGGGCATCTCCGAGTCCATCCGAGAGTGCATCTCCTCCCCAAGCCGGGACCCCAGTGAGTAGAAGTCGGGGAGACACTAGTGGGAGGTCTCTGGGTATCTGAGTGGAGGGGGTGGACCCCCCCTAGAGCAGGTGTTCTTTGAGGTGTTTTTAGGAGGGTGGACCTGGGGGAGCGCCAGGGGAGTGGGGGCCCATGGTGCTGAGCATGCCTTGTCTCCATCTTGGGGCTGGAGTGTGGGGGTCCTGGGTCCACTGGCCCATCTGCTTGGACGACTAGACGCAGGCACGGGGCCGGGTCCTAGGTAAAGGGACCTTAGGGTGGTGTGCACTGGAGTGTGGGGTGACCTCCTGTGAACTGGGCCCCAAGGAGGACCTCATCCACCGACTTTGTCTGATCTGGGAGGACGTGTCCTGGGGCAGACCCAGCGTCTGTGGGCTGCTCGTTGCCCCATCTCTGAAAGCGCCCATCACTGGCAGCCCCAGGAGGGACCCCTCCCTTGAGTCAGGGCCAGCTCACCCCCATCACTGCCTCATGCTCCTGAGTGAGGATCCACAGATTGTTCATCCAGCATATCTGAGTGCAGGAGCTGGCTGGGCCACGAGGGCTGGGTGGAGCACCAGCCAGGCGTCTTGGAGCTGCTCAGGCGTGTCCCAGGCTGGGAGGGGCTGAGAGCATGTGACAGTGGACTCCGGGAGTCGAAGGGCTGCCCGGGTACTGAGGTGAAGGGAGGCCCATCTGTGGGACAGCCCTCGGTGGTTCCAGACAGCACTCCGCTTCCCTCTGGTAAAATTCACCAGAGGCTTGTGTCAGCACAGCGTTGAGGGATGTTGTGGCTGGCGGTGCTGAGAGCAAGCCGTCTATGACCCCTTGCTGTCGCGGGCCTGTGAACCTTAACCAGTGTTCGCTCAGCAAACTGATGGTCATGCTTCTCTCTAGTGGACACCTCGGAGGACGGGGAACTGGACCTTAGGGGCATCGACGACCTGGAAATCGACAAGGTAAGCTGTTGTCCAACTGCGCACATGTCCACCGGGGGGGCGCTGAGGTGGGGGTGGCTCCTAAGCTCCCTCAGGCCAGTTTTCAACTCCAGGCAGAGGTGCACAGCCTGAGTCCCTGGGACCCCGCCCCTTCCTGGGTCTGCAGTCTTGACAGGCACGGGACTGTCTAGCACTGGTGCTCAGCCGCAGCTGGCCCTGTTGCGGTGAGCACCGTGTGTACACGCTCAGCGCTGACCCCATCCCTGCCTGTGCAGTACATCCTAGATGAGGCGGAGACCCGCGTGAAGGCCGAGCTGTGGATACGTGAGAACGCCGAGTACCTGCGTGAGCAGAGGGGTAAGCTGGTGCAGGCAGGTGGGAGGGCGGGCCCTGACAGTCCGCAGGGAGGGTCCCCTGAGCCGCAGCTCATGGTCTTTCAGAGAAAGAGGCCAGGATCGCCAAGGAGAAAGCCCTCGGCATCTACAAGGAGCACAAGGTAGGGTCTCCACCACCTGACACACCTGCGCCTGCGTCCTGGGCTCCGTGGCTGCTTTGCTGAATCGTGAGGTGGGGAAGCATCTCCAGCCCTCCCTTTGTGTCTGAAGGCACCCAGGGAGAGCCTCTCGCTCGTCCACTCTGCAGCCCGCCCTTCTCTGCACTATACAGCCAAAGAAGTCCTGTAAGAGGCGGGAGCCCATCCTGGCCAGCACGGCAGGGGAGGCCATCGAGAAGATGCTGGAGCAAAAGAAGATCTCCAGTAAGATCAACTACAACGTGCTGAAGGACTTGGACGGCGCGGGCAGCCCACACGGAGAGGACCAGGGGCTGCCGCCGCCGCGCACACCCAGCATCAGGAAGCTGTCTCGGAGGAGGACACCGGCTGGCCGCAGTGCCGCTGACCCCGCGGCCAGTGTGGGGAAGAGGTACTGCTGGGCGGGGGTACCCCCTAGGGCTGCTTGTGGGGGCCCGCTCTTAATGCTGAGACAGGGTGGTGGGTGGGCTTGGGCAGTGTCTTCTGATAGTGGCCATGGTCACTGCAGGAGGGTCACAGCTTTGCAGTGGGAGGCCTGAGTCAGAGCCCACCCTCTCCTTGCCCCTGGGCCCAGCCATCCACCCGTTCCCTGCCCAGCGCACAGCCCCGGAGGCGGGCAGGGGTGACCACTTACTTCCCCTTTGTGGGGCTGCACCTCCCAGCTCCACCATGCTCGCGGCGGTTGCCTGGCTCATCTGAAGCGGGCACCAGCCCCCTTGCGTCTGTTTAAATGCTTTACTGGGACTCGGCTGTCCGGGTCCTTGTCCATTTCTGTTCGTCTGTTGACCCTGTCACCGTCCGTGTATTTGCCAGGACAGCAGCACAAGCAGTGGGGACACAGCGTGACGGGTGGGCGGAGTCTAGACCCCCACTTTGAGTGCTCCGTGTTCTGGGACTCGGCCAGGTCTGCCCTGCCCCCGCCAGCCTGGGACCTGTCCACGAGACCTGGCTCTTCTCCCCCTTGGGTCCTGGTTTGCCCCAACGTCCCCTGGAGCTAGGCCAGGCCCAGTCCATTCAAGGTCCTGCCTGAGACCCAGAGGCAACTGTCTGCTTGGGCAGGGGACACCTCGGAGTCTCAAACTAAAGAGGACACAGCTCCTGCCTCCCATCCAAGGCATCACGGGCCCACCTCCCAGCCCTGTCATTCCTCCTGGATCACCGGGGAGTCTTGGGGGTCTGCCTGACCCCACCTTTGCCCTCCTCTGTCCTCCAAAAGACACCTGGCATCAGCAGTTGGCGTGAGATTGAGGGATAGGGTTAGCCAGAAGATAGAGTCTCCCCTGGATCCCACCTCAATGGGACCCTTCTGGGGCCCAATGTTTCCAGTTAAAACATGCGCTGGCCTCTCATCAGTCAGGGCCCACTCTATCGACTGCTGGGCCTTTGGGGACAGGAAGACTGGGTGGGTGAGCTTGGTCAGGACCCCTGTTGTCCGGGAAGGCACTGAGGACCCATGCAGTCTGCTCTGTTGGGGGTCAGGGCAGGACCTACTGCTTTCCAGTGGACTCCAGCGTAGCCGCTTCCAAATGGGACCTGCTCCCTTCACTAGTGTGCATTGGGCCGCAGCCTCCTCAGCCTCCCGCACCTCCTACAACTTTAAGGGCTGTTCTCAGGGTCACCTTCCCTGGCTGCAGGGCCTTTCTGGGTGTGGCCACACAGATGGATGGGCCAGAGGACTTGCTGGGGAAGGATCTGCAGCCCCACCATGGCCCTGGCTATGTCCAGTGTCTACGAGTGGACATTAATTCTGCCCCACTTTTCCTGGTGGCTTAATGTGAATTGTTGTGCACCGTTGGGTCGATTCTGACTCACAGTGACCCAACATAGGGTTTCCAAGGATCCACTGGGGGGTTGCAGCTCCAATGCCACCCCTGGACTCCTTACTTTCAATTAGCTGCCGGTATTTTAAAACTCAGAAGTTGAAGCTCTCATAAAAAATTCCAGTTTCCTGTTTCTGTTGGTAAGTGGGGAGCTCTGGCTACACTGGACCCAGGTGTCTCATTGTGTGTGGGGTGTGGGGTGTGCAGTCAGCATATTGTGGGGCTGAGGCCATCCCTCTCCTGCCTTCCAGATTGAGGCCTCTGGTGTCTGCACAGCCTGCCAAGAAGGCGGCCCTCAGAGAGGTGCGTAGTAAGGGGTGGGCCCCAGCCCCAGCAACAGGGGCTGGCCGCAAGTACAGAGCCCTTGCCCTCCCCAGGGGTCTGGGTGACAGCCACAGAGTGTGCCCAGTGCTAGTGGGCACTTGGCTGTCCCACTGACCCTAGGCCATCCTGAGGTCCTGACCCAAGGGGCTGTGTCCTGCTTGAGTGGAGCAGAGGGTGGTGGACATGGAGCCAGTAGGAGCTGTCCCAGAATGCCTCTCCTCACTGCAGGCTGTGCTCCCGAGTACCCCCGCCCTCCCCGCCCCTGGTGCTGAGCCTGTGAGGTCTTCCATCGTTGTGGAGAGCGGGCCTGTATCATACCACCATGAGGAGGACGTGGAAGAGGACGATGGCGAGGAGGAGGAGGGCGAGCCCTGCGTGAGCGCCCTGCAGATGATGGGGAGCAACGGTGGGTGGTGGCCCCACAGGTGGTGGGCAGCAACGGTGGGAAGGCAGCTGTCTGGGGTACACCTGCCCTGGAAGTCCGGGGGGAACCCCGCATCTGACTGTGTCCTGTGGGTGCCCTGGTGTTGTGGGAGCCACGGGAAAGGCAGGAGCGGAGCCCCTCCCCTGACTTGGTTCTGTGGTTCTCCCCTGCTGTTCTCTGCAGAGTATGGCTGTGAAGGGGATGACGATGATGGTTACTGATTTGAGACCACACCCAGCAGTGGACACGGCCCTCAGTCTGCAGAAAACCCAGCAGGGCAGCCTCAGCTCCCAGGCAGGGTGGGCCAGAGACTCAGTGACCAGGGGAGTATCCGCCGCCACCACCACCGCTGCCGCCACCGCCGCCGCCACCGGCCCAGCCTCTGTGGGACTCAATGACAAGGGGTGTGTGTGTCGCCCGCCCACTCACCCAGCGTCTGTGGGACTTTGCTGTTGGCATCATGTTTTGAGCAATGTAAGGAGTTTTCCACCCAACGGGGAAGCTGGACCCTTGTCTACCTGTGTCTGGTCACTCATGCCAGCCAGCGTGCTTGGGCACCGGCCTCAGTCCTGCTTTCGGATCGCTGACCCTCAGAGGAACATTTGTGCCCGCATCCTCGGGATCCCAAGTGCGGGAGGTCGCGTTGTTTGCAGAGGAGGAGCGCTGGCCCACTTCTCAGTCCCGCCCCCAGCCCCGCCCCTCAGCCCCGCCCCTGCTCCTCAGTCACGCCCACAGCTCCTCAGCCCCGCCCCGGCACCTTAGCCCTCCCAACTGCTCCTCAGTCTTGCTTGGTGCTCCGTGTTCCGTGCACCTTCACCTCCTTGCCAGCTCCCAGGAAACTGGCCAGCCCTATATGGTGAGCTTGGTGGGACTGTGTCCCCAGATCTGACAACCTCACTGCTCCAGAGCTGTGTGGCCCCTTGGGGAGGCTGCAGGGTCCAGGCGGGTGGATCATGAGATCTATCGGCGCGCATGTACGCGCACCCTACCCCCACCCCACTTTGCTACAGCAAAGGGCCCACCCCAGTCACACCACTTACTCTGCAGGCTCCAAGGCGGTCAGCAAGTCCCCATTGTGGCCCCAGTGTCCTGCGATCACTGCCCCCTGGGAGTACCACATGCAGCCTGCAAGGTGTCTTTCCAGCGGGGCAGATGTGGGGTCAGGCTCAGGATCTGCAGAAAGAATCTAAGCAGGCACTCCAGGCTGGTGTCTTGTACTTGATGGTTCTTCGCTGAGCTACTCTGGGGGGCCAGGATGGAGTGGAGAAGTGCTTCCACCCACATGGGACAGCAGTGGTCCTGGACACCTGAGTCAGAGGTATGGAGGACAGGCCATGACCACCTGGCTCCTAGGACTGCCTGTCTCTAGTGAGCAGTGGTCCTCCTTGGTTCTGGGTGAGCCAGGCCACCCTGGATCTCCATAGGGGCTGAGTCGATGGGGGACAAGCTGCACTGTGAGTCTCACATTTGGGGACTCAACACGCTCTGCAGTCCTGGTCCCCTGGGCACCCTCTGGTGACTACTGTCCCCTGCCCTGGTTCCAACACAGACAGCCTGGGAAGTCTGCTTCCTTTCGGGTGCATCACTGGACCCTTCTGGAGGTGGGGCATCCTGGCTGCTTAGGGTGCGAATGAGGTCTCCTTGGTTGTGAGGCATGCCCCCAAACCTGAGGCAACTCTAAGTGGATGGGACTGTGGTTGAGGGGGATGGGATGTCCCCAGCCTGAGGCAGCTCTGAAGGGCTAGGACTGGTTGTAGGGGGCAGGGCTTGAGAGATGCTATGCTGTCCTGGGCTGGAGGTAGGGAGGCTGACCCATCCTTCCCCAGGGGGCAGTGATGGCCGATGACGGGGATGGAAGTGTGCAGACTGCATGTGGGGCAGAGCTCCTGGAGCTCACTAGTGGATCCGATTTGGGGAGTATAGGGACACCAGAATCCAGGAGCCTCCTGGGTGAGGGAGGGTGGGACTGTATGCTAGGCCGGCTCATCCTCCAGGCAGAGGTGAGGAGGCCCTGTTATGTGGGTGGTGGGATGGTGTTGGAAGCAGGGTTGGCTGGTCCATGGGTGGGTCCATGTGGGGCATCACAGGGACAGGAGTGAGTTTGGGGAGCAGTATGTTGGTGCACTGTTGCAGAGCCCCGGAAAGGTACAGAGTGGCTTTGTTACCTGGGGTTCCAATGGGCAAATGAGGCAGAGAAGTGGCAAACCCCGAGGTATTGCCACAGTCCCCTGGGCTTGTAGGGATGGGTGGGGCCCCAGAGGCCACATAGGCTTTCGCCTGCCCCATCTGTACCCTGGTCCCCCCATGTGAGGATGACTGGAGGCTGCAGTGGGGCCTGAGGTCACCTTGGCCTTGGCCAAGCCTCATCGCTTCTCCCGTCCCTTGTCCTGCCTTCCAGCTCTCCCTGTACAGTGCTAGGTTATAGTCTGGGCTCCATGGGGGCTGCAAGGGGCCTTCAGGGTAATGTCTGATAACAGGCAGTGTTTGGGGGCTGACTCCCACCCTGCTGTGTCCCCCAGTGTAGGCTCAGACCACCAGGGACCTGTCTCAGGTCATGTGGGCCCATCTCGGGTCACGTGCACACCTGCTGTGGACAGGAGCAGCATGGTCCTTACTGAGTCAGCCAAAGTGGTTGTGCCCAGCGACGCTGGGAGTCTGTAGGGCTTTGCCAGGGTACATGTGTGTCCATATTCAGAAGGGACTCCAGGCAGGGATGGACCATGTCAGCCATGGAAGGGCCTGGTTCTAAGGGGAGTGCCCTCACTGGGCATCAGGCGCTTTGACAATGATCCTTGGGGACAGCCAGGCCAGGCTGGCATATCGGTCCATTGCAGCCAAGATGGAGGGCCCTTGTGAGGAGGTGTGCTCCCCTTTGGAACCTGAGATCTGACCCTTCATCTTGGGGTGTGCAGGCCCTGTCCTGGGGGTGCCTGCCTAGCCCACTGTGACCTCATTGCGTGTCCGGCATGGGGCCTTCCCTGTTCCCTGACACCACTACATAAGGGCAGGTCCCTGAGCCCTCACCAAGCACTCCACCTCCCCACTGAGCTGAGTTGCTGCCTCCTCCCCCCAGGTTGGGAGGGGAGGGGGAGTTATGCTTGTCTGTGCACCCCTATACTCTGTGTCCTTGGATTGTCCATTGCTGTGGGGATCTCAGATGGGGATCCTGGTGAAGATGGAGCCAGGATCTGCACTTAGACACGCCTGGCAGGAGGGCACGGGTGCCTACAGGTGCTGAGACCCTCACACCTGACCACTTGGGCTGACTCAGCAGGGACCATGGGGCCATGCTCCCCCTGTCCCCAGCAGGATGCCACCCCCCTCTAGGGGCCCATGTGACCCGAGACAGGTCCCAGGTGGTCTGAGCCTACACTGGGGGACACAGCAGGGTGGGCACCAGGTCCTCACACACAGCCTGTGTCCAACCTTGCTACTGCAGCCCTGATGCCTCTTGGGACCCCCAGGACCCCCAAATTGTGACCACAGTGCTGGCTCCAACGAGGACCCTGACAGACCCCCTCACTTTGTTTCTCAAGTTCTTCCCAGATGGTACTGGGGGGCGGCTCTGCTCATGCCAACGTAGCGGAGAAGGGAGGATCCCCGCACCCGCATCATTTCCTCTCTTCCTTTTCCCGGTGTGAGGACCCTCTTGCTCCGAAGGACTGGAGACAGTCACTAGGGATCACTGCTACCTACCAGCCCAGCATCCGTGTGGTTTCAGAAAACGTAACTTTACCTTCTGTACTGCTTGGCATTTTCAGACCCAACCTCTGCCTTCATCCTGCCAAGACCTATGACCCCTCCAGAACCACCCCCGTCTCGTCTACCTGACCCCTCTCCCACGGACTCATTAGCCGCCCCTCCGCGCGCCGCCAGCCTGCGCAGTCCAGGCGAGTCCCTGCCACGTTGAGAGCCGGTGGAATCCAGAACCCTGACGCCTCTCTAGGGAACCCTGTCGGTGACCCCGTGACGCCAGCAGGGGGCACCCCAGGACTAGCGGCTTGGTTTAGAGACTAGAAGGGCTCCAGTATCTGCAGCTTCCTTTCTGGGGCCCTCCCAACCCCCACCACAGCTCAGGTGCCCTGCCCTGCGTACACCACCATCGTGATCTCTGAGCTATTCGCACCCACAGAGACCTGATGCTTCAGTCAGACGATGTTGTGAGGGTTCACCGGGGCTCAAGGTGGCCGCCTCTTGGCCTCGGTGGGCTTCCAGGAGCTCTCGAAGTAAAGAGCGGCCTTCCCATTAGCCCGGTGGCAGGGACTTTACCTTCCCGGCCCTTGCCGATCCCGGCGCTTTGAGATAGGCCCAATGGACCAGCCTTGCTGTCACGCCATTTGTGCCTACGTGCCTTTAGGGCTGGCCGGTCCCTGGAGGGGCCTGGGCCCAGGCCAGACTGGCAAGGGGTGGGGGCCGTGGGGCAGGGTCCAAGGCTGCCCGAGCCCTTCAAAGGCAAAGGGGAGGCTCTTTATGGTTTTCCTGTCAGCAGAGGAAGCCATTGTCCCCACACAATGGGGCCAGTGAGGGCAGGGCCCCTGACTGGTGGGACCCTGACCCTTGCTCTCAACCTTGACCTCAACCTACATGGTGACCCTGCTCCTGGCCCTGACCCACCACTTCTGTCATAGAAGAGCAGCCATGATGGGGAGGGGGCCCCTGGGCTACGGCAAGAGGTCTCCCTAGAGGAGGCAGCCTGCAGGCAGGAGGCCCTGTGTTGGAAGACAGCTGAGTAGAGGGGTTCCAAGCGTGGGCCACCATGCATTACAGACGGCAAATTGCTCCAGTCACAGGGCAGAAAAGCTGGGTCCAGAGTGGTCAAAGAGCCATTGCCTCCACACCCCCACCTACAAGGCTGGGAGCAGGGTGAGTAATGAAATTGTTTGCCAACTGTCCAAGGCCACCTCTGCCGGTCTTCCAGCTTCAGTGATACAGAGGAGACCAGGGGCAGCTGAGGGGGCTGTTGAGGCAACAGTATCTAGGAAAGGCCAGACTGCAAGTGGCCACAGGATCCAGGGATTGGGGCTGGACACCATGGCCCAGAAGTGTCAATGAGTAGTAGGGATGAAGGGAAGTGAGGAGGTCTCCCTAATGGGGCAGACATGTGATCATTTAGGGGCGGGAAAGATGTTGGACGAGTAGGTTTAGGGTGTTTCTGGGTCCGGAATTAGATCTGCCCTGCTCAGTCCTGGTGCCTGTTAGATGAGGGGGAAGGGGAACATCA